CTCTGGAATCCAAATCAGCTGCTGTTCTCCCTGTGGAAACACACAAACAGACCCCCGACTCCAGACAATCACTGGGTCAGGACCTTTCCATTGTCCTATTAGAATATCCTTCCAAAGTACCTTGGGTTTATGTACATTTTTTGGACACATTTGCCTTTCTACAGGATTAAGCCCTAATGAATCCAAATTTTAAAAGTTTTGAGTAAAAAGGGTTAATTTAAGTTGATCTTTGGGGGATATATACCCCTTCCCAATTCCGTCTATTTGCTTTAATAAGTACATTTTAATAGTTTGATGAGCTCTTTCAACTATGCCTTGTCCCTGTGGATTGCATGGGATTCCTGTTATATGAGTACTGCCAAATGATGAGGTAGAAGTATATCCAGGGGCATTATCTGTTTTTAACTGTTTTGGAACTCCCACAGTGGCAAAATTTTGTAAGCAAAGAGCTATAATATCTTTAATTTTTTCTCCAGCATAAAGGGAGCCCATCAAAAATCCAGAAGAAGTATCAACTGTAACATGCAAATATTTTAATTTTCCAAATTCTGGCAAGTGTGTGATGTCCATCTGCCAAATATGGCTAGGTATCAGTCCTCTAGAATTGATTCCAAGATTAACTTTTAAGCCTTCAGGGGAAATGTTACAACAGGAGATTTCTACTAACACCTTTCTATCACCAGAGGGTGTAAGTGTCCAACCAACAGCACCACCTCTACAGGAGACTGATGCTAACACCTTTCTATCACCAGAGGGCATAAATGTCAAACAAACAGCAAACAGCGCTACCTCCATATGCTGGGAGGCCCCCAACCCCCACAGTTGATAGCTGAGATCCTGAGAAAGGATCTCAGGTATTAACATGCCCTGTATTTGAGGCAGGAGGGCAGCGAATTCACCATGCTTTAAATTTCAAAACAGTGAAGCAGCTAAAAGAGGCTGTAAAAACCTATGGTCTTCAAGCACACTTCACTGTAAGCATGGTCAAATCCATTAACAACTTGAACATGACACCAGCAGATTGGGCTAATATGTGTAAAGCTGGGCTAAATGGAGGTCAATACCTGTTATGGAAGGTTGCCAATAGGAATTTTGCAAGGAGACAGCTAGGTGAAATTCAGCAGCTGGTTATCCTCAGAGAAATCTAGATATGTTGTTAGGAAAGGGACCTTATGAGGATCAGCAGCAACAAATTGCATATGATTTTGGCGTATACTCACAAATTGCTGCAGAGGCAGTTAGGGCATGGAAGACTTTACAAGGACATGGAGGTTTACAAGGTCAATTATCTAAGGTAATACAAGGAGCTAATGAA